GAAAATTGATGAGTCCACATGGGTCCTTACACAAATGAGTGTGCACAGAGCATGAATATTTAGCAACCCTGTATCAAGAGGCAGAGGATGCTGATCAAGCAAGGACAATGTTCTGGCTCCTGTGCCATGGGATGATACATTGAATCTATGACAAGTGAGGTGAGATTAAGGGTAACCTCAGACTACCTGGAGGAGAAAAAATGTTGAGTAAATTCCTGCAAGTAGGATGATGAGTGAGAGGATAATTTCACTCCTTTCTGTGTTCTGAAAGAGGATCCCTCCTTTCTGCATCCTAGAGGATGTAGCAGTACCTCAAATAGCATTTATTGCTGCAGCAGGACACCATGACAGTGACACAGCAGCTAGAGTCAGCAGGATTTGCCCTGCAGAGAGCCACCTTGTTCCTCTCCAGATCAAAATGCTCACCAGTGCTGCATTAAGATGCGCTTGCATTGGACATTTGTTTAAACAGTCTCAGAGTACGGAAAGTGTAGAAAAACATGTTGGTCATCCTCTTTTTCCCTCTTATTGCATGTTTCATTTGTTCTTATGCTGTGCTCAAACTGAAAGGAATAGATGTTCTGTGACACTGAAGGTGGTGGAAAGTTTTTTTTGTATTTTGTTCCTCTTTTCTTTTTATCCCCCCTCTGATATTCCTAGGGATTACTGGGTGTTTGTGTGCACTCTGCTGTGCAGCCTCTCGAGTAATAAATAAGTTGTATCACTCCATTCCATCAGTTGTCTCCAGAAAAGAAACTAAGAACCAAGTTTTCTTGAGCTGCTGTAGATTCTACAGGCCTTGAGACTACTGAGCTGTGTGGTGCAATGATTACTAATTCAGTCTTGGTTATGTGTAGAAAACTGGAGCTTGTATCATAGAAGATCCTGTTTCCCACCAGCAGGAGCTGTTGCACAACGTGGAGTTACTGTGCTGGAGAAACAGAACTGCAGTAACTGGGAATTATGTCTCCATGAGAGATCAACATGCTTTGAAAGAAGGCAGATATTAGATACAATAAAACTAGATTTTATGCAAGAGGGGACATGCTTCCAGATAATGCTGGAACAACTCTCAGTGGTGGACCCCATCAATAAACACTGGGACTGAAATTCTTGTTTCAGTTGACACTTAGAAGTCTGTGGCCTCGGCCTCCAACATCTGTAGTTCAGCCGGCAG